CACGCTTCCAAGGTCATTGACCTGCTCCTTGGTCCATGCGGAGCGCTCGCCCTTCTTCTTGGGCGCCGACGGCGATGCTGGCGACGGCGATGCTGTGCTCATCATGCTGTGGCTGGGAACGTATCAAGTTCCTGATAATATATTGAAAACAATAAACTTCCGGCAAATTCGCGCTGAAATTAAAACTCGAGTTCTGATTCTCGATACAAATGGCTTGATATTTTAAAAGCCGTCAGCCGAATTATCAACTTGCCTCTCCCTCAAGCCAGACCGTTTCCGGATGTCGTTGGCTTTTTATCCGGATGTGTCATGCAAACCAGCCAGAACGCAGCCAATCCACGTCCGTCGAGACGCGTGGCAAGTTGACACATTGCCGCGCTCAGAAGGTTTCTGTTCCACAGAGTTCACGCTGAGGTTGTAGGTCTAGGAACGCTAACTCTTTATCAAGGTACAAGACCATGGACGTGGTATCGAGTTGGCTTTGCGACGACAGCGCCAGTGGCGAGTGCAAGGACGAGCTGCTGATATTTTGTCGGTAAGGAAGACCAGAAAACGGCTTGATACATGCCTCTCATTGGATAAAATGATACTCAGGACGCAATGCGATTGGCTTTTACAATTCATTTGTAATACCAAGCTCAAATTGATACAATGCGCGGCGTGTGCAACGGCAAGGCCGCCCAAACGACCAAATTCGTTTTTGAGTTTTTGATAACGTACATTCTCGGAATGGATAGTAAGTATACTTAGCTACATAGTCCATGGAGACGTAGGACTGGAGGGTCCTTGGCTTGTTCTATCGTTTCTACTCGATCGAGTCGCCATGAACGGCACCGCTCTGTACGAGCTTGCAGCTTCCGGTCGTGCCTGCATGTATGGGCTGTTTGGCGCCACATCTCTGGCTGAACATTCGTACTTGCTGGGGTGGATAGTACGACTCATTGGGTCGAGCCGCGGAGCCACGAAAGACGTTGTACTGCGTTGTATGATGGCTACGAGACGCTCGCATGGCGCCTTGGAAGCGCTGACGTCGGGAAGAGATTGTCGATTTTTTTGCGTTCGAGGACCTGGTTGACATGGACCAGCTCATGGACCTTGTCGAGACGCGTTGTGCAGCATGCCGTTTGACGATGACGCGGCCTGGAAGGTCAAGCCAAGACACCCCATCAGCATCGCTATCGTCCGGATACTGGATGCTGATGGAGTGTCCGGATGTCAGACATACAACAGCCAAGATATTTCGATGCCCTAAATGAGTGATGGCATCGGTTTCCGATATGTAGTTCCTTCATTTCGGCGAGTTTAGAGCTCAATGAGGGATCAAATCATAGGTAACGATGTTGGCTACCGGGTCTTCTAACTATGAAGTTCCTGGCTATCGCCCCCGAACCACAATTCGACAAATGTGCCAGGATGGGCCTTTAGCCAAACCACTGGTCCACTGTCTCGAAGTTGAGGCGAAGTTCGAGCCGAAGAAACGATCGGTCACCTCCTTTCCCACACGGCATGGGAATGATAAAGAGACTGATTAAGAGCATCTCCACCGGTTCCCTGTATCCCACACTGGCTCTGGGTTTTTTTACCGGGCGATTTCGCCCTGTATATGCGATACAGAGCAAGATAAAACAAAACGCCCCACCAGTCGCGCTGTAAAAAGATGCAGGGAGTCGCGATTTGTATGGCGTCGATAACTTCGAACTTCGTCTTAAAATTCGATTTTGTATTCATTTTTTGCTGGGAAACGAAATTCGGGTCCATTTTGACCAATCAGATGCTGTTATTCTAGTACAAAGGTCCACAAGAGTGGAACTGCAAACTGATCGCGACCCATACCGTACAAAAGGAAGCACTCTGGTCATTTGCCTACCAACAAGCCAACAATGGAAGTGCACTTCGACTCGGCAGGACAGCGCGTCTCGGTCTTGCCAAACGAGACGACTGCAGGAGGCGTCGAGATGCTGAACGACATGGCGACGCGTGCGACGTTGATGACGGCGATCCAGCGTTTGCAATCGTTGCTGACAAAGACGGTCGTTGCCGCCTGCCCAGGCCGCGTCATCGACTTGGTGGTGCAGTGCCTCGCAGCGTTGCCGACGGAGACGATTGCGACGGTTGCCGAGGTGCAAAATTTGCACCGTGCTCTGCCCAACCCGATGCAGAACGCCGTGGCGCCGCCGCATGCGGCGTTGGCGGCGGCGATCGACGGTGTGCAGAAGCTGGTGACAAACTCGGCCGTTGCCACGTGCTCAGGCCGCGTCATCGACTTGGTGGTGCAGTGTCTCGTTGTCTTGCCGGTGGAGACGAACACGGCAGTCCTCAAGGTGCAACAGCTCCGCTACTCTTCGGCCAACCCGCTCATAGACGGACATATGTACGGTCCCCTGCATTGCGGAATTCGTGACGCCCTTTGTCCTAGGTTGGAAGCGAGTTCGCCGAAGGATCTCGTCCCAAGTTTTGAGGACGTCATCGACTTCTTCACGACCCGCTTCCGAGATCACGAAGCAATTCAGAGCACGATCGACGAGCGGCGCATCACGTTCATGGGTGCGTCGCACATTCCGGTGCAAGAGCCGTTTGCGATAGTCCGATATGCCTCGCTCTTGAGTGCCAATGGCTCGTCGCATCGCAACATCAACTGCCACCTGATCCCGATTGGCGCCCTCGATGCCCGTACGGTGGTCATGCTGCGCCGCATTGCGGGGCTTCTCCACGAAGTGCGACACCCCAATTTGCTCGAATACGTCGGCGTCGGGGCCAAGGACGGGCACATGTACGGCGCTTAGCTTTGTGCTATCCACGTGACGCGTCGTCTCTTAGGTTTGTGGCCACCGAGTGCCTCGACACGTGTACGCTCCGCGATATCCTCCAAACCGAGTCGCTCAACGTGCAGAGTATTCTCTACTTCCTCTACAACGTGGCCAAAGGCATGCAGCACCTCCACCAACTCGACATCATCCACCGCACGCTCTCGACGCAGTGTGTTTACGTGGTTGTGTACGTACCGCTGCTTGCGCAAAGATTCTGATATTAGTCCCGTTTTGTAGCTCGACGGGCGAGGCCAAGATCGGCAACTTTGAGTTTTGTCGCCAAGATGCGCGGCTCGACACCAAGTCGGTCATGGGCATTTCGCCGTACGCGGCCCCCGAGATCCTCATGGGCACGACCAACTATACGAAAAGCGTCGACGTGTACAGCTTTGCGATGCGTACGCCCTACCTCTTTCAATCCCGTCGCGACGTCGTGCATCATGGAGCCATGTCTAGTCATTGTTGAAGTGCTGACGCGGAACGAGCCATATGCAAATGTCGACGCGCCCGGACCCAAGATTTTGGAGTATATTGTCCAGCGCCACTACCGCCCTCGCTTTGTCC